TCTGGTTTGCTCTTCTCCACACTCGCATGTCGTGGATTCCACTTTGTAGCCCCATTTCTTAAGGTTGGCTCTGCATCTTGGGGTGCCAGAGCGCAGTCTGTTCAGCGCCTTCCAAGTCGCCCAGTTTTCTGTGTGCCCAGGGGGGAGTCTATCATTTGGTATCAGCCATGGATTGAGGTTCTGGGTTTGAGCCTGCCACTTTTGGACCCTCGCTTGCTGAGGTGTTCCAGCGAGTATCTCTGTAGATCTTAGAAAACTATTTCTTGATTTAAGTCGTTGATGTGCTGGCTGATACCCAAAAAGAGGATGGGCAGGAGATGTCTCTGCCTTGGTCCTTTCACTATTGGTTGCTACTTCCTGGAAGATGTCAGATGCTGCAATACCAGCTAAACAGCGTACCTGTCCGAATGTATCTCCTTCTACGTCCTGCCTAGGAATTTAAGATCTTCTGGAGGGGCCCTGCTCTCGGCTCCGCCCTTGTCAAAAACGAGATTGGCGGGGATGAGGGACAGGGCCTTCTCAATGGTGGCCCCCTGCTTGTGGAATTCACTCCCCGGGGAAATTAGATCATCGTCATCCCTCCTCTCTTTCAGAAGGAAATTAAAAACATGGATATGGGACCAGGCCTTGGGTAATCTGGCAGACTGACAATGGACAATGAGGCTTTGGAAACGGACTATGATAAGCGGAATGAATTTATTAATTATGGACTTGGCAAAACGATGGCCACCAGGCTGGGTTTTATTGTATTTTTATTGTATTAATGTAATGTTTTAATTGTTATAATTACTGTTATGATGTATTTTATTTTGTGATTTGTAGGCATCAACATATGCTGGAAGCCGCCCTGAGTCCCCCTTAGGGGGTTGAGAAGGGCGGGGTAGAAGCATTCTCCAGTGGTCATGAAGAGTCGGAAGTGACTGAACAAATAAACAACAACAATAGAAAGTTAATCAATACACATACTCTTGGCTCCCTCTTCCATGGGATCAGCAGACTCTCAGGTTGCTGCTTGAACATCCTGAGCTTATCTGGCTAGTAAAGAAAATCATCTATCTTTGGAAATACACAATAAATCTGATAGTTATCTGGCTTGGGAAATAGCTGGAGGGATTTGGCCAATGTCCCGGTTCCCAAGAGATTATGCAAACAGGGTCACAGGGAGGTAGCTGCCTTCAAGATAAGTTTTGATACATGCAAGAAGCAGTTTATACACTTCATATAGGAAAATGATACAAATTATTAAAGGGTTAGACATGTTAAAGCTGATGAGAAGAAAAGCAACTTTTTATAAATGTGGAGTTGGAGGAGAGATCTCTGGATACCATATATCTATCTTCTATCTATCTATTTGGGTTGTTGTAGGTTTTGCGGGCTGTATGACCATGTTCTAGAACAGGGGTAGGGAACCTTTGGCCCTCCAGCTGTGGTGGACTTCAACTCCCACAATTCCTTGAGGCTCGGCATTCGCCCCAAAGGCTTACCTTGGCCCAATGCCGAGCCTCAAGGAATTGTGGGAGTTGAAGTCCACCACAGCTGGAGGGCCAAAGGTTCCCTACCCCTGTTCTAGAAACATTCTCTCCAGACGTTTCACCTGCATCTGTGGCAAAGCATCCTCAGAGGTTGTGAGCATGCATAACCTCTGAGGATGCTTGCCACAGATGCAGGCAAAATGTCAGGAGAAAATGCTTCTAGAACATGGCCATACAGCCCAAAAAAGCCTACAGCAACCTGCATTCCTTTTCTAGTACAGAATCCCCTTTTACTATCCAAGAGTTTAAAACAATTTTCATTTTAAGTGATATTTTTCGGCTTCCTTTTGCCAAAAGAAGAAAGGTCAAATTGTGATTTGTGGTTCGCTGTTTTTCTAAGCAGATGTTCCTTGGTATGAGCCAAGATGATGTTTCCTTGCTGTGCCAAAAGCTGACTTCCAGAGTTTTCTTGTGTTTTTTTAAACTTTTATTTTCAATATAATAAGACACGTTATAGATAGACACACTTTACAAAAGAAATCGACAATTCATAAAGTCTATGCAGATATCCATTTAGCTAACTAACACTGATACTATCACTAACTTGTACACTAATAAATAGACTAACATCTCTACTGCCTAACTCCAAATAATAAATATACTAATTTCAGAAGAGATTACTTCTTTCTTACTAGAAGAGCAAATATTTGGTTAAATAAAGTGTGAGTTGCGTTATTAATTCTAATTTGTGATTTTTTTCTTTTTTAAACTTTAATTTGTTCTATTTTTTCTCCATTGTCATTTAAGAATTTGATCAAAATCTCCATAAAACCTTTGCTTGCTTTACCTCTCAGAAACATAGTTAATATATCAATTTCTACCATTGCAAAGGTTTTTTGTTACCCAGTTTTTGGAATTTCTTCATTTTTCCAGATTTGTGCATATTTGCACAAGTCTTGCTGCTATTTATTTATTTATTTATTTGTCGTGTCAGGGCAACCAGTCAATTATATTACATTTCTAACAGAACAAAGCAAACAAACAGACAAAATACAAAATTGTGAGTTTGGTAGTTGATTAAATGTCCTTTGACCAGTATCTGGCCACTTGGAGTGCTTCTGGTGTTGCTGCAAGAAGGTCCTCCATTGTGCATGTGGCAGGGCTCAGGTTGCATTGCAGCAGGTGGTCAGTGGTTTGCTCTTCTTCGCACTCGCATGTCCGAGGATTCCACCCTGTAGCCCCATTTCTTAAGATTGGCTCTGCATCTCGTGGTGCCAGAGCGCAGTCTGTTCAGCGCCTTCCAAGTCGCCCAGTCTTCTGAGTGCCCGGGGGGAGTCTCTCATCTGGTATCACCCATGAATTGAGGTGCTGGGTTTGGGCCTGCCACTTTTGGACTCTCGCTTGCTGGGGTGTTCCAGCGAGTGTCTCTGTAGATCTAAGAAAACTATGTCTTGATTTAAGTCGTTGACGTGCTGGCTGATACCCAAACAGGGGATGAGCTGGAGATGTCTCTGCCTTGGTCCTTTCACTATTGGCTGCTACTTCCCGGCGGATGTCAGGTGGTGCAATACCGGCTAACAGTGTAATTTCTCCAGTGGTGTAGGGCGCAGACACCCCGTGATAATGCGGCATGTCTCATTAAGAGCCACATCCACTGATTATAATGATGGGATCTTCTCGTGTTGGCATTTTATTTTGATTGTCAAAGGTTCCTAATAAAGAACATTCTGAATTGAATTTTATATTTCGGTATTATTTCCTGTATCTTCCAGAGATTTCTGGAGTATTTTCATTTTTGCATTGCTGTCTAAAATTATAGAGGCATCAAGAGCATTAATCTGTTGGAGTTCAGCCTGTGATTGTGTTTGAGGATCAGGGTGCTTTGGATTTGGGGAATGATGTCAATGAGGTTCAAGATGGCAATGGTTTGGTCAGTGATATTGATGCAGAGAATGACTTAGAGACACCTGTTCAAAGTGTAGTTTCCCATGAGAATGTCCCTACAGGGTATAGGGAGGATGGTTTACTCCCTGAATTACTCCCAGATAATTCCCAGGATTTGGGGCTTGAAAATAACTCGGCACCTGGAGAAAGTAATGAGCATATAGATAGACGGGAGGAGATTAGTCAAAACAGACAGGTCGAACAATGCCTTCGGCGTTCTGCCAGGCTCTGACAGAAAAAGATAAGGGTCTCCCAAGCAAAGCGAAACCAGTTCCTGAGTGCTTGGAATAGTTTAACAAGGGGATAAAAGTTCCAAGCATGGGAAATGTAGCCAGATGAAGCATCAATTAGAATCCTGCTAAGTTCCTGTCCTTGCTTCATGGAAGCCTTGCTTAGAAGATTCATGCTTAAGTATTTCTTGGTTTGGTTTTTGTCTCTTGTGATTACATACTCATGTCTTGGATCAACATTTCCTGGTTCTCTGGACTTTGTAAGAGAATTTGGACTTTATTTTATGGACTTTGCTGAACTCTACCTTGGACTAATTTGGTCCTGTAAGCTAACCCTTACTGATGTGGGCTCCACTACCAGGTCGAACTGCTTCTCGGACGCCAAGTGGACCTACCAGTAAAGGATTAGATGTTCTCCAGCTGGAGTACTTTGGTCTTTAGGGCTGTTTCCTTGGAGATCTTTGGAGACTCTTAAGACTGTTCTCCCCCGGAAGGTCTTGGATGCTCTTAAGACTGTTTCCCCCCCCCCCCCGGAAAGTCTTAAGGGTTGAAGCTTTTGTACAGGGGAAGCTTGCACACGTCCTGTACATTAGCTTTCCTTGCTGAGACTAACTAAAAATGGCTCCCTTCCCTTCCCAATTGCCCTGAGCAAGGGGTGGAACCAAAACTTAATGATGATGGACAGGTGACTTGCCCTATGACTGCAACCAAAGGAAGCCACCTTTCTGCAGAATCCCTGAAACCTTGGACTGCAAGCAAACATTTAATACAAAGTAAATAAATTTGGAGCTCCTGGTACAGCTATACCAGCACACTCTCAACCCTATTATATATATGATTAATTTGGGAACAGACAAACATAAAGGAGGAATCTTCTAGCATCCTTCAGATTTAGTAGTCTTTAGTCCAGCATGAGTTTTGTTCTCTCTAGGAATCTCAAAGGATGTGTCTACATTGCAGAATTTAATGTAGTTCCACACCACTTTAACTGCCATGGCTGAATTTGATGGAATCATTGGAGGTTATAGTTTTACGAAGTCTTTAGTCTTCTTTACCAAAGAATGGTGGTGTCATAGCCTTGAAGCAAAGTGGTATCAAACTGCATTAATTCTACAGTGTTGATGCATCCTATCTCATCCAGCATGACACCATGATCAACTTTATTGATTATTGATCACAGAATGGCACTGGATAAACTAGAGATTCCAAGAGATAACTTTTTAATCAAATCCACATGAATCAAAATTGCAAATGCCGAGGGCCAACAATCCTTTGAGGGAACGAGATGTTTTTGCAAAAAGTGTTTTTTCCTGTTCTGGCTCATCTTGGTTTCTTTTCCCTTCTCTTCTTCCAGGATATCTGTGAGGATCCCCACCTTTTTGTGGATGGAATCAGCTGCCACGATTTGCACCAAGGACAAGTGGGGAATTGTTGGTTCGTGGCGGCCTGCTCCTCCTTGGCCTCCAGGGAGTCTTTGTGGCAAAAGGTAACACCAAACTTAGGGATATCCCACTTCCTTTGCTCTCCTTTGGGTCTGGGTTCCATTCTTAGGTCTATCTGGAGATCTCTAAGATTCCTCCTTGATGGACTTCCATCCAGGTAGCAGTATTAGTCTTAACCTTTCCAAAATCAGTTGAAGTATTCAAGATGAGGAATAAGAAACTCCATGTATGTCTTCTAGGACAGTGTTTCTCAACCTGGGAGTTGGCCCCCCTGGGGGGGGGGGTCACAAGGGGGTGTCAAAAAGGTTACCAAAGACCATCAGAAAATACAGTATTTTCTCTTGGTCATGGGGGTCTTGTGTGGGAAGTTTGGCCCAATTCTATCACTGGTGCGATGGGCGCTTCAGAATGCTCTTTCGCCATTGACAGTAGGAGCTCTACACTCTAAGAATCCATCCAGGGTAAAAGCTACACTACAACCCCGCAAATATCAAGGTACTATTTTGCCCAACACTCCCACTAGAGTCACATATTAGGGCGATATGTAGGTTATCTCGATGCGTATGAGGGGCGGTCAGAATGCGTCCAGATCAATTTACGTGATAAGCCACTAGCCCAAGTCCACAAGTGATCTCTGGATGTAGGTGAACTACAACTCTAAATCAAGGTCAATGCCCACCAAACCCTTCCAGTATTTTCTGTTGGTCATGAGAGTTCTGTATACCAAGTTGGTTCAATTCCATTGGTGGTGGAGTTCAGAATGCTCTTTGATTGTAGGTGAACTATAAATCTCAGCAACTACAACTCCCAAATGACAAAATCAAACCCCCTCCCAACCCTACCAGTATTCAAATTTGGGTGTATCAGGTATCTGTGCCAAATTTGGTCCAGTGAATGAAAATACATCCTGCATATCAGATATTTACATTACGATTCATAACAGTTATGAAGTAGCAACGACAAACATAATTTTATGGTTGTGGGTCACTACAACATGAGGAACTGTATTAAGGGGTCGGGGCATTAGATAGGTTGGGAAACACTGATCTACACTGTAGAATGAGTGCAGCTTCACTGCCATGGCTCAATGCCATGAAATCCTGGGAGTTGTAGTTTTATAGGACTGTCTCTGCCAAAGGGTGATGGAAAATTCCAGGATTCCATAGAATTCAACCATAGCAGTTCAAGTGGTGTCAAACTACATTCATTCTACAATGTGAATGCAACCTAAGATTCTTCCATATATTCCCAGCTAGATCATAGTCACCTGAAACCAAACACACATCCAGTTGGAAACAACCAAACGCCAGTAAAAATTCCTAACCTCAGATCCCAGCATAATATAGGATTGCACTGGAGGACGTGGAGATTACTAGCAAATTATGTTTACTCACTAAATGAAATCACAAGTATGGTTATACTGTGGTTACGGAGGGACATTATATACTTATGAGCCTAGTCATTCGCACGCTAGCCGCAGAAATGCGAGAATCAGAGAGAACCATGACTACTGCCTGGTTTTTATCCGAATGTTGTGATTCTCATATGCCTGTAGAGCACCACTGCTAATCTTTCTAGCCCAAAATATGAAATTTGAGCATATTAATTTTACCTGCTCTTATTCCCGCAAATGTCATAGCCCTGGCATATCCCCGCTAGGCAAGTTAGCGTCATGGTTACGTGGCGGCATGCCCTGTTCCATAAGCCCCATCTTCAGAGAGAGGAAAGATTCACAATAGGACAGGGGCCACGGCCTCGGCATGCGGCACCTAATACCCACGTATAGACGTCCCCTTGTTACATTACCGATTTTCATACACCGTAGTTTGTACTCTAACCTCCCTAATACACTTTGCTTAGTAGGCCAATTTCCCTCGTAGCCTCTGAGGATGAATCGGTCATAACTAACGTGTTAGTATCTATGTGCGGTAGGCCTCAACGCTCGCGCCTGTATCGTTACCGGTGGCCTGCGCAAGCCTCTATCTTCGGATTCGATTGTTAACCATCCCACGAATAGCATACTAGCAACATGCACTCTACTTGCGGGTGCACTTTTCGCACAAAGATCGCCTGTGTTCAGAAACTTCAATTTAGTACACCGCGGCGCCGCCAGCCAGATAGTCACCGGAGCCCTTCATAAACATGGAAGAATCTACCACCCCTTCTTTGATCGGTATGTCAAGCTCCACTCGGGCATCTTGCCGCAATACAGTCTGCCGAGCACAATTCAAAGCTAGTGGCTCTTGACAACACAAAACCCTATACTGCCCTCCGGCCACACGAGTACAGTGTTTACCGAACGCATCTAGCAAGTCATAAACGTACCCACCTCGATAGTATAGATGATCTTCAATGCGGGAGCGACCTGCTATCATAGACCCCACCTACTTATCATTAAGGCTGAGTTGGTAACCGGGGACGAGAGAGCACACGGCCTCGTCTCGGTGGTGGCCCCCCACTGTGCCGAAATGTCAATACCTACACGTGGAGGATCGTCGTAGCAGGATAATACGGTAGAGGTCATCGAGGCCTTGCCTCCTCCTCTGATAAGTGTCACGAAGGAAATTAAAGAACATGGTTGTGAGGGGACAGGCCTTCGATGGGCAATCCTAGGCAAGATAGGATATAGGACAATGAACGACCAGACAGGGACACACATATCGTACCTTAGACAATGGTCATGCAATCTTACTGAGAACTCTGAGATTGCCAATCGCGATGAGCCATTAGATTGTTTAGTCTGATTTTTGATGTATATAAGCCTTACAGTGGAGAGTGAAAGCATGTGCTAACTAACAAGATTATATAAGCAAAGCAAGGTACATAAACTCTTCAAGACTGATGAGAAGCAAAAGTAAAAGCTGTTAAGCGGACGAACACAGAGAGTGCTCACTAATGCTTCCTCTTCATCCTGGAAAGAAGTGACAAGTGGAGTGCCATCAGAAGGGTTCCGTCCTGGGCCCGGTCCTGTTCAACATCTTTATTAATGACTTAGATGAAGGGCTAGAAGGCAGGATCATCAAGTTTGCAGACAACACCAAATTGGGAGGGATAGCCAATACTCCAGAGGACAGGAGCAGGATTCAAAACGATCTTGACAGATTAGAGAGATGATGGGCCAAAACTAACAAAATGAAGTTCAACAGTGACAAATGCAAGATACTCCACTTTGGCAGGAAAAACGAAATGCAAAGATACAGAATGGGGGATGCCTGGCTCGAGAGCAGTACGTGTGAAAAAGATCTTGGAGTCCTCGTGGACAACAAGTTAAACATGAGCCAACAATGTGATGTGGCGGCAAAAAAAGCCAATGGGATTTTGGCCTGCATCAATAGGAGCAGTGTCTAGGTCCAGGGAAGTAATGCTACCCCTCTATTCTGCTTTGGTTAGACCACACCTGGAATATTGTGTCCAATTCTGGGCACCACAATTCAAGAGAGATATTGACAAGCTGGAATGTGTCCAGAGGAGGGTGACTAAAATGATCAAAGGTCTGGAGAACAAGCCCTATGAGGAGCGGCTTAAGGAGCTGGGCATGTTTAGCCTGAAGAAGAGAAGGCTGAGAGGAGATATGATAGCCATGTATACATATGTGAGAGGAAGTCACAGGGAGGAGGGAGCAAGCTTGTTTTCTGCTTCCCTGGAGACTAGGACGTGGAACAATGGCTTCAAACTACAAGAAAGGAGATTCCATCTGAACATGAGGAAGAACTTCCTGACTGTGAGAGCCGTTCAGCAGTGGAACTCTCTGCCCCGGAGTGTGGTGGAGGCTCCTTCTTTGGAAGCTTTTAAACAGAGGCTGGATGGCCATCTGTCAGGGGTGATTTGAATGCAACATTCCTGCTTCTTGGCAGAATGGGGTTGGACTGGATGGCCCATGAGGTCTCTTCCAACTCTTTGATTCTGTGATTCTATGATTCTAAATAAATCCGCATGCTTTCCCGCAGTGAGGACATCAGTTTCCAGGCAGAAGGCGGTCCCAGTCAGGGTTGGCTTGATGTGCCTTCCTCTTGGCACATTTCTCCCTTTCATCCTCCATTCGTGCCTCTTCGAATTCTGCAGCACTACTGGTCACAGCCGACCTCCAGTTAGAGCACTTGGGCCAGGGCTTCCCAGTTCTCAGTGTTTATGCCACAGGTTGGCTTTAAGCCCATCTTTCAATCTCTTTTCCTGAACTTCAGCATTCCGTTTTCTGTTATTGAGTTCAGAGTAGAGTAACTGCTTGGACGGTGGTTGGGCATTCGGACAACATAGTCGATCCAGTGGAGTTGATGGCATAGGAGCATTGCTTCAATGCTGGTGGTCTTTGCTTCTTCCAGCACGCTGACATTTGTCTGCCTGTCTTCCCAAGAGGTTTGCAGGATTTTTCAAAGGCAGTACTGATGGAATCATTTCTGGAGTTGCATGTGACGTCTGTAGACAGTCCACGTTTCGCAGGCATATAGCAGGGTTGGGAGGACAATAGCTTTATAGACAAGCACCTTGGTATCCCTACGGATGTCCCGGTCCTCAAACACTCTCTGCTTCATTCGGGAAAATGCTGCACTCGCAGAGCTCAGGCGGTGTTGTATTTCAGTGTCAATGTTGACTTTGGTGGAGAGGTGGCTGCCAAGGGAGCGGAAATGGTCCACATTTTCTAATGTTACACCATTAAGCTGTATTTCTGGCATTGGAGAGGGATTGGCCGGTGACTGCTGGAAGAGCACTTTGGTCTTCTCCATGTTTTCCAATCGAAATCCACGAGTGCGGGACGAAACAGTTACACTGTGGCTGTAATTATAGAAAAGTGTTTGGCATTAAAGAGGATGCTATAGGCCTTTGTAGAGCTTCTCTCATGGAGATTCCACACAGAGACTATTAGTCATCCAGCATATGGCAGTTCTATAACAGATAAGCTAACCGATAAACATCAGCAAGAGATACTGAAAGCCCACCCACACAAGGCGTCTTAACTAATCGCATTGTGCGATAGCCTAGCACCGTTGAGATGATATAGTAGAAGAAATTGCCCAGTAGATTGGAGAAATAAGTCCATAGATATCAT